CCTCTCCTTATAAACTTAATTGCATGAGAAATTGGGTTTTCTTTTGTCAAAACTTAAATTAGATCACCACTTAAAATTTCTATGTTCCAAAGAGAATTAGGAGTCATAACTTTTCCAATATCTCCTTCTAGCTGAAGTCATTCATTCCTGGTCAACCTCTTTCAAACCCTTTCTAAAGCTTTTACCTAGGAAAAAGGGTAGACCACTAAGCTCAGAAATAACAACAGAAGTTGCAGAAAAGTTTAGCAGGTCTGGCAGCATCTGTGAAGAAAAATCAGAGTTAACATTTTGGGTCTGGTGACTCTTCCTCAGAGTTCTGAGGAAGGATCACCGGACCCGAAATGTTAACTGATTTTTCTTCACAGATGCTCAAAGTCCTCCTGAACTTCTGTGAAACTTCTGTTGTTGTTCCTGATTTACGGCATCCGCGGTTCTTTTGGTTTTTATTTAGACTATTAAACTTCTTGAGCCTGTTGCAACATTTGTCTTCCCTGAATGTTTTCCATAAACATATGAAAACCTGAGACAACATGAAATTTATCATGAATAAAAAGCAGGATAATAGAGATGAGGGTGGAAGACAAACATTTCCGAAATTAGTACTGTTGTGCGCAACTATTTGGTCATCATAGTTGTTTCACAATTGATTACAGTTTTTGCATGATAAAATACAGTTTTAAAACATCATCAATTTCAGAGTTTGTTCACAGTAAAGTGGCAAATGCTTTAACATAATACAGATGGCATCTATGTTACTGTGCACCAACCTATCTAGAACAGTGTATTCACTGTCAGATTTAAACAGTGCTTCTAGCCTGGCTTCCATCATGATATACAAGTTTCCAGTGGAGTTGTCTGCAAATACAGAAAAAAATGAAAACACCAAGACATTTAACAAGACATTAAGGTATGCATCGCAATTGGAGTACTTAATTTTAAAACATAGCAAGAATCAGAACTACAAATCAGTTAGACGTACATTAAGAATTTTTACAATAGCATGCCATATAATTTGTCATAAAAAGTTGAAGGCGACATGTCAATTTCTCACAAATAGATGCTTTCTTTTGCCAGTATTGTACGATCTCAGAGGCTGCAGATAAACAAGAATACAATGTAGTTTATGTCCAACTTGCTTTCAGTTCATAGGGGATTGCATTGTTACTTAAATTACTACAGATCCGGGTTGTGCCAGGAATGCTTTTTAAGTAGAAAATCATGAAGTGCCCCAATTACCATTTTTTCCCCACAAACACTTCCTCTACTGCACCATTATCACTAAACCTAGATGGATAAAGCAGCAATAAGTAAACCGTTTTAGCACAACAAGAACAGCACATAAATTGATTTTAAATGCCCAGAGGCTGTGCTATTTTATGCAAGCAGGTAGAACAACACAAGCATAAATCTATAACCTGCAAATGCTGTGATCTATATTTTTGTTTATACTATTAAGGTCAGCCACAGAAATCCTGATTAAAATGAAACTGATTTGTGTTTTAAACTACTTCCAATTTCAGCTCACAAAGTCATAGCATTCACATTCTGAATTCACCTAGCATGTATCAAGTCCTATCACGGTAAAAACATTGAATACTTTGTTTTAAAAAACAATGGACATTGCCATTTAGATGCCCTGGTTATCAGTAAAAGTACAGTGGTGCATAACAATGAATTGTTCTTTCATTCTGTGGACAGGTCAGTCAATTTAATCAAGCACCAACCCAATTATTTCAGGAATCATCATGAGACACCACAGCTTTGAGTCAGGTAATGTTAAACATATTAATATGTATCGCCTCTTCCCCAATTCTTTAAAACATACAGAAACTTTGCTGACATGAAATTCCACAGTGCTGGTAGAATCTAGTCCTTTGCCCAAATGGCCATTATCCACATACAAACCTACTAACAAGTGCCCACAGGCTATCAATTGAGGTTTCTACATCTGAAGACAGAATAAATGTCCCATTTTACAGAAGAAATCAACAACATCTTGCATTAATGTAACATGGTTAAGTAAGAAGTGTTCCATACAGTGCTTAACGCAGGCAAAATTAGACAAGAATGAATGCAGCTCATAGAATCATACAGTACAGAACTGGCTTTTCGGCCGATTGAGTCTGCACTGACAAAAAACTACTAAATCTACACTAGTTTGATTTTCTAAAACCTTGCCCATAGCCTTGAATGTTATGATATTTCAGGTGCTCATCCTGGTACTTTTTTTTTTAAAATGGTTGGGAGGTTTATTGCCTCAACCACCCTCCCAAGCAGCGTATAGGTTTGGTCAAAAAGGGAGACAGGAGAGAAAGAGCAGCTTTGGGATGTACTTTCACTGCTTCTGTCAAGCTAGGAGGTAAATAATGGAAGTAAAGAAGCAATGAAGTGTCAGACTTTAGAATGAAAGAAAGACTGCAGGAAAGTTGATTTGGCTGGAAGGATTTACATAATCAGGTAGAACCAAGACCCATAAGGATTCATGTTTAAAGAAAGAATGAGAATCTTTAGATATAACATAGTGTGGAGCTGGAGGAGCACAGCAGGCCAGACAGCATTAGAGGAGCAGGAATGTTGATGTTTCGGGTCAGGACCTTTCTTCAGAAAGGGGAGAGGGGGAAGGGAACTCTGAAATAACTAGAGAGAGGAGGGGTGGGGCTGGGGAAGATAGGTGGGATGGTGATAGGTGAGTGCAGTGGTGGGGACTGGTCAGTGAGGTGGGAGGAGCGGATACGTGGGAGAGAAATGGACAGGTTGTATCAGGTCTAGAAGGCAGGGATGAGAGGGAGGGTTGATCATAGGATGAGGCCAGGGGTGCAGAGATTTTGAAACTGGTAAAGTCCACATTGAGACTATTGGGCTGTAGGCTCCTCCAGTTTCCGGGTGGTGACATTCTGACACTGGAGGAGGCCCAGGATGGATACGTTGCACAGAGAGTGGGAGGGGTAGGTGAAATGGTTCGCGACTGAAAAGTGTTGTTGTTTGTCGCAAACACAGCACAGGTGCTCTACAAACCGGTCTCCGAGTCTCTGCTTGGTCTCACCGATGTAGAGGAGGCCACATCAGGAGCAGCGGATGCAACAGACCACATTGATGGATATGCCGGTGAACCTCTGTCTAATGTACAAGGTTTGTTTGGTGCCTTGAATGGAGGTGAGGGGGGAGGTGTAGGGGCGGGTGTAGCATTTCCTGCCGTTACAGGGAAAGGTGCCGGGGGTAGTGGGACTAGTGGGGAGTGTGGAGCGGCTGAGGGAGTCACGGAGACAGCGATCCCTATGGAAGGCAGATAGAACTGGGGAGGGAAATATATCTTTGGTTGTGGGGTCAGATTGCAGGTGGTAGAAGTGGCGGAGAAAGATACATTGAATCCGGAGGTTAGTGGAGTGATATGTGAGGACAAGGGGGATTCTGTCCTTGTTTTGTTGTGGGGAGGGGATGTGGCAGACGTGGCAGAGGCGGAGGCCCCATGAGAATCTTTAAACTGGAGAAATGGAGCCAGGTTTTACACTTGTGTTGATATTGCTCATCCTTTTGTGAAAGTGGGATATAGTTTTGTAGTGTATTTTTGTTTCTTCGTAACTTAGCTTCAAAAGTGGAAGAAAACTAGATTTTAGGTTTCAATTCTAAAAGTGACTTCTTATTCTTAACACTGGTCAGAATGTAACTTTTAGCAGTGAACTAAAGATGGCTTGGCCAAGAAAGCACATGATTTAAGTTAAATGACTCAAATTAATGAATCATTTACAAAATTGAACTTGTGTGTCCTACAGAGAAGCAGATTGCCAGGGACTACAAGTAGGTTGAGTTCAGGCGAAAAATTGCCACAGTAGAAGGGCAGTTTTTATTCTATTTTGTATAAGTCTCCGGATTTTAAGTTGCAAAGGAACCTCCAGGTGCTCAGTGTTGCTTCAGCTGTTCAAGAACAGAGGTTGGAAACAGTTATTTGATTAAGAAATTAAGAGTTAAGTTAGGATTGACACTTCACTTGATCTACCAACTTAAGTTTCACCCATATCTGATTTCAGCTGTGACCATAATAAAATATCACAGGCCTGGCACATTAACTCTTTCTCTATGTATGTTGCCAGGCTGCTGTGTTTTTCCAGCATTTTGTTTTCTGTAACGCTCTCCCACCTCATCTTGGTGACTATCTTGAATGGTCTGTCAACCATGGTTTGGTTAGTATAACCCCGTGACTCTAAATCCCATGTTTACAGATTAAACATCCACTGCCAGTTTATGTACCAAAATCAAGGTTGATGTTTCAACGAGCATTGCACAGCAGTGCTGCCTTTTGAATGACAGGCCAAACTGAGGCCCCTATGCCTGCTTGGATGGATGTAAAAGATCCTGTGGCACTATTTAAAGGAAGAGCAGAGAAATTATCCCACGTGACCTGGCCAATATTTATCCCTCTGTCAATGTCACCAAAACATATTATCTAGTAATTATCCACTTGTACCTTGTGGATATTAAGACCACAGGATATAGGAGCAGAAATATGCCAATCAGCCCATCAGGTCAGCTCCACCATTCAATGAAATCATGGCTGAGTTGATCATCCTCAATTCCACGTTCCTGCCTTTTCCCTGCGTCTCTTGGTTTCCTCACTGATTTTTAATTTTAAATTTTTAAAAAAATGTTTTTAATCAATCCGTCTATGCCTTCTGGTCCTGGACTTTCCTGTAAGAGGAAACAACATCTCTACATCAACCCATTCAAATCCTGTAAGAATTCTGCATGTTTCAATTAAATTAATTGCCCTTCATTCTTCTAAACTCCTGAACCACTCCTCATAAGACAGTCACTAAATACCTGATATCAGGCCAGTGAACCTTCTCTGGGCTGCCTCTAATGCCAATACATCTTACCTTAGATAAAGGATTCAAATCTGTTCACACTATTTCATCTGTGGTCTGACTAGCGTCTTGTACAATTTTAGCAAAACGTCTTCACTTTTATACTCCATTCACTTTGAAAAAATGACCAACATTCCATGGAACTTCGACGTTAGTTTTGTGAATCATGCACAAGGAGTCCCAAATCCCTCTGAGCTGTAGTTTTTTGCAGGATTTCTTCATTTAATAATATTCAGTTCCTCTATTCTTCCTGCCAAAGTACATAACCTCACATTTTCCAACAACATATTCCAACTACTTATGAGGGGGGGAGAATTATACCTTAGAGGATCCAGACATTGTCATGAAGGGTCAGGGAGAGAATCTGCCGTTGAAGATACCTCTGCTACATAGGCTCTTTTGGCCAAGTTCTATTTGGCCAAGCAGGTCTATCAATCAATCTTGATTCCATGCAAGATTTCTTTAACCTTACTTCATCTCACACTGTCAACACATCTGTCCACTCTGTTTTTCTTTTAAATCCATCTATGTTCATGACCTCAATCAGTTCATGCATAGTGAGTTTCACATTTTCACCAATCTATACAAAGCAATTTTACATTTGGGTAAGTAAGAGTAGAATTAAGGCACTCCTACTGAGCTGAACATAGGAAAAAAGATTGGCAAGTGTGATTTTAGGTTAATCACTTGAAAGACTGCAAAGATATCAAGGCAGGAAAATGCTCCATTGTACTTTGTAGGGCTATATCAGTGTTGTGTTATTCATAAAAGAAATTTGACTGGAAACTTAAGTAAGTAGCCAGAGGAAATAATGCCAAGGATTTTGAAGCACGGAGGTGATAACTTTCAAGGATATAACAGGAAAGCACGTTAGAGAAGAGCAATAGTTTGCTAGAATACTTCAGAGAGAGCCGAAATTAAATCTTTAAAAGGGCAAGAGGAGCTTGATGTGGGCATGCAACTTTGAGAGAGAAATTGGATCAAGGGGAAGGTGATCTGGCTTAGTGATCAAGAGGAATGGAAACAGCAGAGACAGCTGAATAGCTGGGCTTAACATTGCTGATGGAGAAGTCTCAGAGCTGCTAAGTGACATCTCAGAGTAAGAAGCTTCTGGCAGGAGAAAATGGTTTAAGGAGATTGACAATGGGAGATAAAAGTCATCAGGTATCATTTCTGCTCAAAGTTGATTCTAGAGTATTTGTTTTGACACATAGAGGTCCAGCAAAACTTGACTGGATCCAGTCTGATCTGGGGATAGATGGTGTTATGCACCAGATACGTTCATGCTGGTATCTCTAAACTTAAAGGGTTTGAAGATGGGGCTGTACTGGAGGCTAATATCCATCATATAAATCAGAACATCCTGCCATCATTTTAGCAGTTCCAGATTATTATTTCACCCCTACCACTGGTCTTCAGAAACCTTCATCCACATCTTTGTTAGCTCTGTTTCAACTAGCTTTCCTGGGTGGAGTGCTGCCTTGCATGTTCTGCAAACTCAAGTTCATCCCAAACTCTACTGGCAATGTTTTACTCACACCAAGTCCTGTTCATCCATCATTCCTCAGCTCATTGACTGTTAAGCAACAACTCATTTTTAAAACAAATTCCTCCATGGCCTCTCCCCTCTTCATCTTTAATCTTCTTCAGCTTTACAACCCTCAGATGTCTGCACCCTTATATTTCAGGCCTCCTGCACGTCCCTCATTTTCATCACTCCACCACTGACAGCCAAGGTTTTGACTGGCTAGACTTTGAACACTGGCATTCCCTTCCTCAACTTTCCATCGCTTCAAGGAAAACTACCTCTGACCAAGCTCCCGTCCTCATGTGGCTCCATTTCAAAATTTGTCTGATTTGGCCTGTGAAGCACTTTGCGAAATTTTACAATCTGAAGGCTCTGCAATAAATACAATATTCTCTTTGAATGACCAGACTTTTTTTTGGGGGGAGGGTGCATGATGCAAAAAGAGATTATGAATTTACAGGGAAAAAAAGGACAAAGATGGAGATCATCAACTACTTGAGGTTTCGCAGACACACAGAAGCAATACTGCAATGTGTTATACATATGGCTCGGTTGATAAAATGCAACATCTCTGCCACTAAATATAGGACAACATTGTCATGGCATTGCAAGTGTTGAAGGCTCCTTCAAAAGCTTCAGGGGAGGCAACAGCCTAGTGGTATTATGCTGGACTGTCAATCCAGAGACCCTTGTAACGATGTGGGGACACAGTTTGAATCCCACCTTGGCAGATGGTGGAATTTGACTTCAATAAATTCCCAGACTAAGAGTCTGATTAACATGAAATCAATGTCAATTGTCAGAAAAATCCCATTGGTGAACCTATAGGAAAGGAAACTGCCATCCTTACCTGGTCTGGACTACATGTGACTCCAGACCCACAGCAATGTGGTTGACTCTTAACTGCCCTCTGGGATGGGCCCTAGACAGCAATGCCCTCTTGAATGAATTTTAAAAAATCTTTAAAAACTTCTCAGTTCTACCAGCTAGAAGGACAGGGTAGCAGATGCATGGCAAAACCACCACCTGCAGGTCCCCTTCCAAGTCACACATTATCCTGACTAGCAACCATAAAAGTGATCCTTTACCATCTTGGTCTAAATCTTGTTAACTCCATCTGTAACAGCACTGTGCATGTGACTACAACTCAAAGGCTGCAGCAGTTCAAAAGGCAGCTCACCACCACCTTCACCAAAGAAATTAAGGATGAGCAATTAGTGCTGCTGTAACTAATGATGCCCACATCTCCTGAATAAAAAGAAAGGCTGTGCCCAGACCTTGCTATACCTATGTCAGAAAATGCAAAATATTGCAAACCCTGGGGATCTGAAACAGGTTTGGGCTGATAGGACTTAAGAAAATTCAGGCAACATAGAGCTCCAGGTAATGACCAACTGCAACAAAAATGAATCTAACTGTCTCCCGTTCAGTGACATTGCTATCACCAATTCCCTCCTCATTACCCCCATCCTCGGATCAGTTATTACTGCCCAGGAACTAAATTAGACAGGCAATGTAGATTTGGTGACTATAAGGACAGGTCTGAGGCTGGGAATTCTGCGAGTAAACTCACCTGCAGACTCCCTGAAGCCTATGTTCTCCAAGGCACAAATCAGTACCGTGATGGAAGATTCTCCATTTGCCTGGAGGAGTTCAGCGCCAACAACATTCAAGAAGTTCAACAGCATCCAGGACAAAGCTCCCCAGTTTAATGACATTCATCCATTATTTTCAGCACTCACTCTCTCCGTCATCAGAGCACACTGGCAGCAGTGGCATCAACTATAACTTGTTAAGGCTCCTTTGACAGCTTCTTTCAAAGCTGCAATCTGATACATCACCTGAAAGATCAATAGTAGCTGCCGCATGGGTACGCCATAACCACTTCCAATCAAACAGCATTCCAACTTGCAAATACATTGATGTTTTTTCACTGTTGCTATATCAAAATCTTCAATACAGTCTCTGAACAATGCTCTGGGTGGATCAATGCCAGCAAAAAACAATGCTTCAAGACAGCAAACTTGCTCAAGGGTAATTAGTGATGGAAAATAAATACTGACCTAACCAGAAATGCTCACATCCTAGGACGGAGTAAAAAGACTAGAAAATTAGAATTGATGGTGTGACTAACTGTTAACTTGGTATGCTATGATCACTTTTAAGCAGTAGCCCTCTTGCACTTTCAGAAAATTATTCATGAAAACCACAGCAATTTCCAGAAAAAGCGACCGGAATATCTTTTTTTAAATGTAAAATCCTTTCACGTTCAGAAACAAGATAATCTATGGATGACAATATTTTGAGGTGGTTTCAAACATGAAAATGTACGTTTTCTAATCGATAATCTCCCATACACTAAACTTTGCAATTACTTTAAGACAAATGAACTCATGCACACAAGAGAAAACCATTAAGTGGGAAAGAGCTCAAGTTATCTCGACATCTCAATAGATTACCGATGTTTTGCAATATATTTAAAACTGTCATACCAGTTACCTTTCCTTAAAAATTTCAAACTAACCAGGAAACACAACATGAATATCAAAGAATCAGTCTGGAAAGATTGCACAATTTCAACTTTGCAGGAACACTCTGGGTAAATCTGCTGAACCTGTATATTCTTATTTAAGACAAAGTAGCTTAACATCTCCTAAACTTGAGTCTTTCTTGTCCTACGCATGTAAAACGGTAAACTGGTTTTTCACCTTTGTAAGGATATCAGTACCTGCAAACTTCCCTCATATAGTTGTAACTTGGAACTAGGGTCAAATTCCTGCCTCAATGTGGGTATCCCTACATATCTGCTGCAACAGTTCAAGAAAGCAGCTCACCACAACCATTTAAAGTGCAAGGTCAGAAGCCAGATGACACCAGGTTATAGTCCAATCATAAGCTTTCAGAGCTTTGCCTGAAGTCCACTTCACCTGATACCTGAAGAACCAGTCAGTTTAAGAAAGGATTCATGAGCAAAAAATATGCAGTGATTATGTTGTCGAGAAATGAAGACAAAAGACCATCTCCAGACTCTCAATTTGTGGGAAACAGAGAAGTTGCAATCATTAACGAGGGAATCCCAAAAATTCCACTCTCTTCTTCAGGGCAGACATATCATTGGATCACCATTCTGAATGATGCAAAAACGCATAAAAGGATATTTGAATTGGTGATTTTTATCGTTAATGCTGAATATAGCAAGGGCATTTGCTGAATAAAAGAATTCCACTAACATCACCAGTTCAAAGCTCATTCAGAGTAAACAAGCTGACTAAGTAAAGCAATTTGAGATCAATCTCAGACTTCAGGAAGCAAACTGCTTATATTTCAGGAACCAAATATATACTTCACTGTCTCCAATATCTTTTAGAAAATGCTTTCCAAGAATCTTCCACTGTCAAGTCAAGTCGCCATAGTCTTAGTAGACCACAGGGCTACTCTCTCATTAGAGAGGCATGACTGGTGGTGATTTAACCTGAGGGCCATGACACCTCAAGCGAGGGGAGAGGTTGAGGAGGAGAGTCTTTCATGGTATCCTCAGCAGGTGTGCAAATTGAATTCCCTTTGTTGGTATCACACTGCTTCATAAACCAACCATCCAGCCGACTGAGCTAAACCAATCCAATCTTCCATCGACCAGTGCACGTCACTCTTTACTAAAGCATAGCTTCTGACTCACTGGTAAGCAACGCCATGGGTGATCTGTTAATAATAATTTATCAGTAGAGTAAAACTACTTGAAATATATTGTTGAGACTTAAAACCTTTAGTACTTCTGTTTACAACAAATATTACCTTTGATTTTTACATATTGATATTCCGGGCTGACACAAACAGCAAGGTTGCTGGGTAAGGTCCACGGGGTTGTCGTCCAAGCAACCAAGGAAACACTTTCGTCCTCCTCCAATGGAAAAGTCACAATAACAGAAGGATCCTGAACATCCTACGAGCAATAAAATATAAAGCTTAATCTTTTCAAAATATTACAGCTGGAGACATTTAGGTTCAACTATTTCTTGTACCTATGCTTCCTGTAAAAGTTGAACTCCGACATTCTAACTGAAAACATTGCTTAAAACTGCCTAGACCAAGGATCAATAAGGAAATCCGATTACTTGTTCTAAACAATTAGTAACATTCTAGTTGGGTTTGGCTAAAATGTTAAAGAAAAAAATCAGAAGACTAAGTTAAAATAGAGCAAACAACTGCCAATGCTGGAGATCTGAAACAAAAAACAAAGTGCTGGAGAAACTTAGGTCGTGTAACATCTGTGGAGAGAAAAACAGAGTTAGTATTTTGAGTGCAGGGCATTTCATCCGAACTGTGCACTTGGTCAGCCAGATTATATATATGGAATCATAAATGGCACCGATTAGGAGGCCATTTGATTCCCGTCATGTTCCTGTAGCCCTGAAAGATTTCCTATCCAATGGTCTTTTGAAAGCCACAATGGAATCTACCACCAGCAGACTCTGAGAAAGTGCATTCCAGATCTTAATCACTCACTGTGTAATAAATGTTTTCCTCATATCATTTTCGGATCTTTTGCAATTTACTTGAGACATATCTTCCCATTCTTGACTATCTGGCTCATGCAAAGCTTCTCTGTGTCCCCTGATTAGATCATCCATGGTTTTGAACACCTCCATCAAATCTCTTCTCAAACTTCTCTTCAAAAGGAACACACCATCGGTTCCTCCAATCATTTCAAGTAACTGAAGTTCACCATCCTTCAAACCATTCTCCTGTTTTCTGCACACTGCAAAGCTTTCATACCATCGTGAAGTGATGAGCCCACAGCAGACAATATTCCAACTGAGCCTGAACCAGTGTTTCATAAAGGTTAATCAGAACCTCAGTGCTTTTGAACCCCATAGTTAGTTAGCTAGGTCAGTTGGCTGAGTAGCTGTTTTGTGATGCAGAGTGATGTCAACAGCATGGAATAAACTCCCACACCAGTTGAGGTTATCATGAGGGACTGTCCTTCTCAACCTCTTCCCTCGCCTGACACGTGGTGACCATCAGATTAGGTCAACTCTCTAATGAGAGTAGCAGCTCTATGATCTGGTAAGACAGTGGCAACTTTATCTTTAATGTTTATTTATAAATGATTAGCAGCTCATATATGTTTTATTAACCACTTCTTTAACCTGTCCAGCCTGTCAACTATTGCAGCACATATACCCCCAAGACACACTGTTTCTGCATGCCTTAGAATTGCAGTCTCTCTGTAGTCTTCCTATTGAAAAGTATCACAATTTTTCTTTTAAAGTGGTTTTTAGTTTCAACAGATAGGGAAAATTTAGCTAATTGCTACTTTGCAAATAAACACCCAACTAATTAAGTTTGCACTCCACAAATGCAAGCATTGCATGAAGTCAACTGTCTTCCATAAAAGGGACATCTGCAGAGGTACAAACACTGCAATATACGGGATTAGTTCCAACAGGAGAGGAAGAAACTAACAATTTCCTTCAAAGAATTATTTTTCCTTTATTCATTCATGGGACATGGGCGTTGCTGTCTTGACAACATTTATTGCCCATCTCTAATTGCCTAGAGGCAGTTAACAGTCAACCAGATTGCTGTGGATCTAGAGTCACATGTAGGCCAGACCAGGTAAGGATGGTCGTTTCCTTCCCTAAAGGATATCAGTGAACCAGATGGGTTTTTCTGACAATCGGCAACAGATTCATGATAATAGTCAGATGATTAACTCCAGATTTTTTTTTTGGAATTCAAATTCCTCCATCTGCCGTGGCAGGATTCGAACCTGGGTCGCCAGAGCATTACCCGAGTCTCTGGATTAACAGTCCAGCGATAATACCACTAGGCCATTGCCTCCCCTGGCCCTTGACTCTTTTAAGGATAGATTTTTGCAAGACGGACATTACCCATGCCCAGTGTATTAGCTTCAAATGTTTTGTTAACATGTAAATTGATACTATGTTTATTGCTCCGTTAGCAATTTCAGAGAGCCTTAGGTGACTTTCATTGCATCAGTTTCCTCACCAGGATAGCACTGGTCTGTGTGGAGTTGAAGCAATTAAGGTAGAATTGCTACTCAGCTCTAATGCTGTCATGTCTGAATAGATAGATTAGCTAACAAAATAGCTTTTGCCTAGGTAAGTTTATCTGCAGCAACTGAGGCAATCAAGTTCTATTATTTGGATTTACTCCTGAGCCAAAGAGGATTGTAATGGATCGCTCTTGCTTGTATAGCGAAAATAAATTCTTTGATTGTAGAGATTGGGGATTACTTTTGAATCACCAAATGTTTCACCAATTTCAACAGTTTCAATAAGTCATTTCTTGTTGGATTTAAACTTTGCTAGGAATAGAATGAATGATAGTCGAGAAACATCCACTCAAATCAAAATGAGTCTCTAAAACCCACACTAGAGGTAACACAGCTGTAGTAATACCAGCCATTTTTAAAAGCAATTAGGAAATTAACTGGTACCTTATAATTTTGATGTGATTCAAAATTAGAGAGAGGCGTGTTGCATGCAGTAGAAAACGGCATAACTTTCACTCCTCTGTAGACCAGTCCCTTGTCATATAGCTGTTTAAATACCCACCTAAAAAGAAAAGAGACGTCAATAAACACAGAAAAACTACATTTTCATTAACACTAACTAGTATCCAGTTATGGCACTTAGCACATTCTGGACTTCAAGTAAACTTTGAAGTCCAGAACGAGGGGTTACAGTCTAAGGTTACAGGGTGGGCCATTCAGAACTGAAATTAGGAGAAATTTCTTCACCCAGACAGTGGTGAGCCTATGGAATTTTCTGCCACAGAAATCAGTTGAGGGCAAAACATTGTATGTTTTCAGGAAGGAGTTATACATAGTTCTTCGAACTAAAGCAATCAAAGGGTTTGAAGAGAAAGTGGAAATAAGGTACAATGGTGGATGATCAGCCATTATCATATTAGATGATGGAGCAGACATGTAGGGCCGAATGGACAACTTCTGTTCTGATTGTCTATGTTTACGTTTCTATTTTTGTACTGTGCTGCTTTGTTTAAAAAGACCCTGTTCTGTTGCCTTCTGAAATGTTATCCTAGGTATGCTGCCTTTGTCAATCCTCTTGCATTTTTAACATCTCCACTGCGCTGTTTGCGTTTGTTAAATGCCCGTCTGCAAAGTATATTCATTTATTGCCCTCTTCCTCAAGACCAATACATAAGCGTTTTTTTAAGGCTGTTTCTTTTTTAAGTCAGTTTATTGTGGATTGTATCTGCTAAAAAGCTAAATATTTGGCCATATTGTGTGGCAGCCATGGCTTAACTGCTCATACTTTGATACCTGAGCTACAAAGATCCAGCAGTAATTTATTCACTTCAATGTATTCAATTTGCTAGTCTTGCATTGCTTTTCTCTTTGAATAGACTGTATATTCCTGTGAGAAGATATTAACGTGGACACTGTTCACTGATTTTCAGTGTTATAATTTTAAATGAAAATTCTTCTCATACAATCACAAAAAGAACATAGACAAGGGAGAAAAGGCTTTTGTCCTCAGCCATTCCAGAGCCGGAACATGAAAAATAACAATGTTGACACTGCAGTGCAGTACTGAGGGTGTGCTGCACTGTCGAATGTGCTGCGTTTCAGATGAGAGGTTAAATTGAGGTCTCATTTGTCTGCTGAGGCAGAACTATAAGATCTCCTTGTTATGTAAAATAGCTGTAGAGTTAACTCCTACGTTCTGCCCAATATACGTCCCTCCATCACTACCACACAAAAAAAAATTGCTTTTGAGTGGCAGTATTTCAACAAGTATCTCATTGTGAAGCATTTTGAGATTTCTTGTGGTTGTGAAAAGTGGAAGCTTGTTTTCCCCATCAAGTCCGGCCAAAATGGTGATTTCATTTTACTTGAGGAATAGCTCCACCTACTGGTCTCTGGTGAAAGCACACTTCCTTGAGACAAACCTCAGAGAGAACTATGAAATTTATGGGTGTATTTACTTGTGCACATTAAGCCAAACATGCCATTTAATTCATACATGATTAATCAATTATTATGACCCTTTCAATGTGTGAATCAAGATTTTGCTGGGTATGAGGAAAAAGTTGAAAACAGGGATTGTATCTCAAAGTATTTTTCCCCTTTCTTCATCTTCACCTCAAAGCATTAATTTCTTGTTGAAACCATAATTGGGATCCACAATTGCCCACTTACACCTCCTACAATCGACACACAATAGAGAGAATGTGTGTGGGCTACCTATATGCCTTTATAAAGACAGAACTGAACTTACTACCATCTTCACTAGGTACAAGTCAGTGACTACTGCTAAAAATGCAATTAAAATGATGATATAGGGCTAATTTTCCACCCACTAAGCACAAGTGCTGGTTATAACATCAGCTGATTGAGAATGATCAATTTCATCAGGGATGAACATTAATCTTAAAAAGGTCGTGCCTGATCATACTCCTGAGTTAACCCTGCAGAATCATTTACACAAATCACTCAAAATTTTGAAATTAACGCAATGAAGTTTAAGATAAGGGAGAAACTAGCTAAAATTGATCAAGGCAAGTATTCACAATGCTCAGAGGGATCAAATACATGAAAAGGAAAAGAAGGTTCAAAGAAAAACAAACAAACAAAGTCTTCCAGTATAAGGAGTCACCAAATGGGAGAAAAAAAAATTCACTGAGGCACACAGTACTTGTTGATTTATTGTAGTCACATGTACCTGAGTACAGTGAAAAGGTTTGTTTTGCAAGCAGTAAAGGCAGATCATAGCAAACATGGATTTTACAGATCATAGAGTACTCGGACTGAGCAAGGTATACAAGGTTACGGCTTCAAAGGAGGCGCACGAAGCAAGATCAACGTAATTTGAAGTTAGAGCGGTCCATTCAGTAGTCTAATAACAGGGAAGAAGCTGTTCCTGAACTTGTTGGAGTGTACGCGCGCAAGCTTCTGTATCTTCTGCCTGACAGAAGAGATTGAAACAGAGTATTAGCAGGGTGGGAGGGATCTTTGATGATGCTGGCAGCCTTTCCGCTGCAACGAAAACTATAAACGGAATCCATGAATGGGAGGTTGGCTTCCATATGGTCTGAGCTGTTCACACAGCTGCAGTTTATTACAGGCCTAGGTAGAGCAGTTGCTGTACTAAACCATTATGCACCCAGATAGAATGCTTTTTATGGTGCTTCTGTCATCGTTGGTGAGAGCCCTTACGGACGTGCTAAATTTCTGAAGCTGCCTGAGGAAGAAGAGGTGTTGTTGTGCCTTCTTGACCAAACACATCTATGAGAGGGGTTCAGGACAGATTGTTGGTTATCATCACACCTAGGAACCTGATGCGCTCAATCCTGTCCACATCAGCTCCATTGATGTCGATCAGGACATGTTCTGATCCTTTCTTCCTGAAGTCAATGATCAGTTCTTTTGCTTTGCTGGCATTGAAAGAAAGATTGTTATCATTGCACCACAACACCAAACACTATCTCCTTCCTGTATGAGTGAGTATGCTGACTCAACATTGATACCCAGCTACCATGGTGGTGTCATTACCAAACTCATAGATGGCATTTGTATGGAATTTGGCTACACAGCTGTGTGCGTACAGGGAGTATGCATGCTTGCAGGGTGCTAGTGTTCAGGATAATCGTTGAAGAGGTGCTATTGTCTATCTTCACTGATTGCACTCTTGTCCAGGAAGCTGAGGATACAGTTGCAGAGGGTGGAGCCGAGGCCTCGGTCTTGGAGTTTTGGGATTAGTCTGGTAGGGATTATGGTAGTGGAGGCAGAGCTATAGTCAGTCAATGAGTAGGAGCTTGCCAAGCTGTTTTGTTGTTGCGCAGACATTCTGTTACCATGCTGGGTAACATCCTCAGTGCAGCCTGATGAAGCGCCAGTGTGTTTTCCCACCTGGTTTTTAAACTCTGGGGTCCATTGCAATGGATTGCCTCACTTCGGGGTTTCCTCCGTAGTGGAATGTATATGGGGTCGAGTTCAATGCGTTTATTAATAGCCTGCTTCGTGGAGTGCCATGCTTCCAGGAATTCTCGTGCTTGTCTCTGCCTAGCCTGTCCCAGGATCTGATGTGCATCAGAAAGATTCTACACGCCCTGACACTCATCACACTACCCTACATCAGGATCACATCAGACTCAGCCCAAGACTTGTACGACCGCTGGGCATCAGAGTGGTGCACAAACCCACATCAACCCTACGACAAGTGCTCACCTGAACTAAAGACCCACTCCCCACCATGGACAGGACCAATGTCATCTACAAGATCCCCTGCAGAGACTGCGAGAAACTACAATCGGACAAACAGGAAGGAAACTAACAACAAGAGTACGTGAACACCAATTGGCTACAAAAAGACACGACCAATACTCACTCATCTCAATCCACATGGACAAGGAGAACCACGACTTCGACTGGGACAACACCAAGAGCCTGGGACAGGCTAGGCAGAGACAAACACGAGAATTCCTGGAAGCATGGCACTCCATGAAGCAGGCTATTAATAAACGCATTGAACTCGACCCCATCTACATTCCACTACGGAGGAAACCCCGAAGTGAGGCAATCCATTGCAATGGACCCCAGAGTTTAAAAACCAGGTGGGAAAACACACCGGCACTTCATCAGAGGCTGCACTGAGGATGTTACCCAGCATGGTAACGAAACGTCTGCGCAACAAAACAGCTCGGCAAGCCAACCAACCTCAACACCCACAACCCGAGCAACAGATCTACTCCAAAACCTTAGAGTAGGAGCTTGACATAGGTGTTCTTGTTATCCAGATGTTCCAGGGAAATAGCATCCACTGTGGACCTGTTGCACCTATAGGTACACTGCAAGGGATCGAAGCAGGCTGGAAGGCTAGAGTTGACGTGGGCCATGGCCAGCCTCTCTAAGCAGGTCATAATTATGGAGGTCAGATCCACCGGGTAGTAATCATTGATGCATGCCGTATATGCTTTCTTTGGTACTGGGATGATGGTCTTCTTGAAGCAGGTAGTAACTTCAGATTATATGAAGGAGGGTGAAGCAGTCAGCGAAAATCTCCGTCAGCTGGCCTGCACAGGATCCAAGTGCACGGCTGGAGACTCTGTCTAAGCCAGTCACTTTCCTTGGGTTTACTCTCAGGAAGACTGATCTGACATCTGCAGTGGTGACAGAGGGGACAGATGCGTCTGGGGCTGTCAGGACAAGTGACACCGCGCCACTGGCATTCTGCTCAAACCAAGCATAGAAAGCATTAAGGACATCAGGGAGGGATGTGTTTTTGTCTACTATTTTGTTCTGCTTCGTTCTGTAACCTATTTTGTTGTGCAAGCCTTGCCACAGTCTGTAAATTGGTTCAAATGAGAACGCTCTGCATTTCTGGACAAAATGGTGTTAATTATGGCTGATTCATCAGAAAGGTACAATCCTGTTTAGAACTTTGTCCTTTTCCTGCTCCAATAGGTTTTGTGTCCTTTAGTGACTTTTTGATAGATCAGCTTTTAACTGAAGGTCATCACACAAACATGGAACATGCCGAAAATTTCCATTGCTAAGAGCAACTGCTAGAACAAACATGCAAAACTAAAAGCTGATAACAAACGGTTGTAACGTTGAGTCTGTACAGGTTTGAGGCAAGTGGATTGTAGGAAAATCCAACCTTTAAAACGTTTCTTAAATTATGCGAGTTTCATCATTAGGATTTATGATTTCATATCAAGCTTTGAATGAATTCCTCAGCTTTGCAAGTGTTCCAAGGTATCTAGAAATCACTCATCTTATGCTGTTCTGTTTCCATGAATGCCTACATTCATGAACTCTCTAAAGGACGAAGAGATTTTGTTTTTGCGTGGGTGTTATCATCCATAATTATATTGCTAGAATCATTCATTCTATCGTTCTCACTTCTGGCAACATGAAGATGGTCACTTTCTATAAACTCTGTTTGAGGCAAAGGATCAGTGCTTTGAATACAATATTCAGTGTAACTAGGGACAGGCAATAAAAACTGACCAGCCAATAATTCCTGTGAGTGAATACTTCAAAAAAAAAAAAAAAAAAAAAAAAAAAAGCTTTTTCTACCAATGCAAAAAAATTCAATAATCATGTTAGGCAGTGAGTGTGAGTATGGGAGGAAAAAAAAAATCTTGTCTACTCCTCATTAACATCCTTGATCCCACTCAGTAGTAATTTCCATCTCTCTTTCCCCCACATGCCTGAAATATTGCTTGAAATTTGCAAAAATCTCAAACATTTGGGGTATTTCTGTCTGACAGATCCAAATCAAGCTGCTCAATCTTTTTTCAAAGTTGTCAAAACTGTTCTACCCAAAGTTATATCAAATCTATATCATAGAAACAGGCCATTTGGTTCAACTGGTCTATGCCAGAGTTCACGCTTATGTCATGAACCTGAAATGTCAACTGTTTCTCTCTAGAGGTGTTGCCGGTCCTGCTGAGAATTTTCATCATTTTGCTTTTTAATTTATTGCTGAAAAAAGGGGAGTCCTCAGCCAAGAGGAAGAGATGGATTTCTCATTTGGCACTTCAACATGAAAAGGTTTAAAAATTCTTTAAGCTACAATTTTTCATCCAACATTGACGATGGGTACAGTCACAATCCTCCAGTTTAGTTCTTTAATTGTCCACCATTCACATGTGGACACGTACAGCTGCAGAGTTTTGACTGGATCCATTGATTGGCAGGTACCTTTGCTTTATCCGTAGCATACAACTTGTTTCAACGGTGCACTCCAAAGCATTGAGTATAGGCGTTGGGGAGATCATGTTGCGGCTGTACAAGACATTGGTGAGGCCACTATTGGAATATTCCATTCAATTCTGGTCTCCCTGCTAATAGGAAGGATGTTGTGAAACTTGAAAGGGTTCAGAAAAGATTTACAAGGATGTGGCCAGAGTTGGAGGGTTTCAGCTATAGGGAGAGGCTGAATAAACTGGGGCTATTTTCCCTGGAGTGTCAGAGGTGGAGGGGTGACCTTGTAGAGGTTGGTAAAATCATGAGGGGCATGGATAGGGTATATGGACAAGGTCTTTTCCCCAGCATGGGATAGTCCAAAACTAGAGGTTATAGGTTTAAGGCAAGAGGAGAAAGATACCGAAAAAAAAAAGGGACCTGAGGGGCAACCTTTTCACACAGAGTGGTGCGTGTATGGAATGAGCTGCCAGAGGAAGTGATGGTGGCTGGTACAATTACAACATTTAAAAAGGCATCTGGATGAGTATATGAATAGGAAGCATTTAGACAGAAACGGACCAAATGCTGGCAAATGGGACTAGATTTATTTGGGCCATCTGGTTGGCTTGGATGAGTGGACCGAAGAGTCTGTTTCCATGATGTATATCTCTCTGACTCTAAATATAAATGAAGTTCCAGTTTCAGCTGGCTCTTAATTTGGCTGCTTTCTCAATGCACCTCTTGAAAGTAAGCTTGCTCAAAGCTTGCAACTGCACAATCAAAAAACTGTTGATTTCTCTTTAAGCAAACTGCAATTACAATCTAAATTGGGGATTTAACACTTTCTAACCCAGCAAATGCATGCATTCACTCTAAGGAGAGCATTAGTCTAGGGGTCTGAATTACCAGTTCAGTGATATTAACACTACACCACTGCCTCTCCAGTCTTTCTTTCTGAAGGTTGTAACTGTACCTGCATCTACAATAGTTCAAACAGATTTGGCCAGGTACATGAATAGGAAAGGTTTAAGAGTGATATGGGCCAAACACAGGCAAATGGGACTAGTTGAGTTTGGGAAATTGGTCGGCATGGACAAGTTGGACTGAAGGGTCTGCTTCCGTGTTGTATAACTATAAATCCAACCTCACATTGCATTTGCTGATCATCAATGGAATAAAAATCAGGCAGAGCAAAGAACACAATGGCCAGGATTTTACACAATGTAGCGAAGTGGCAGCTGGTGGTAGTGACCCTCTCACTCCAATCTCTGTTCTTGGCAGAATCTCACGTAAGTTGACTAGTTGTTGCCCAGCAGGCTGGAGATGGACCATTTGGCAATTGGGACTGGGCAAGAAGCAGTAGCTACATCATCGACTGATGCGAGGATGCCATCTTTAAACTGCTGCCAACACCACAATAGAGCTTCAGATGTTCTTACTCACCATCTTCAGATAACACCCACAACTGCCTCAGGCCTGATCTTTATGTCAAAAGACATTGTGCATAAAAGGTAAAACTCTGGCTATTTAATTAGGGAAGAACCTCAAATAAATTATGCCTGCAGACTACACACTCAATTTTGTTCAGTGTAAAAATTATTTTTAGAAAACAGGCAGAACCTGGTTAAGTCACTGCAGCACAGGAAGCCATTCAATCCATAAAGTCCTTGCCAGCCTTCTGTAGAGCTACTCAGTGTAACTTCCTCGTTCTACTCCTGTAGCCTTACAGGATTATTTCTCTCAAAATGTCCATCCAATTTCTTACTGAAATTGTTCATTGTCTCCTCTATCATCACCCCAGTTGGCAACCAACTCCAAGCTGTTGTACTCACTGCATAAAAAAGTTCTGACATCCCACCTGTATTTCTTACCAAAGACTTTAAATCATTTCCTCAAGTATTTGTATCATCAGTTAATGGGAGCAGCTTTTTTGTTTCTCTTACATAATTCTTGCATGTTTAAAGAGACAATGAACTTGTAGGTTCAATTTTAAAACAATACTTACCAAACAGATTCCATGAATGAAGGATACAAGGTCTTATAATCATTCTTAAAATCAATCCAACGGCCCAATCTGGTAACAGCAGACTGTTGACGAAAATCAAGCATTATAAATAATGAAAAAATGCTGGTGTTGCTTCATAAATAGTAAAAGCCAGAGGCAGAAAATCTTAATATCTTGGAATAATGGAGCATGTTGAATAAGTTAATTTCACAAATATAAATCATGAAAATTAGTTTCAAATAACTAACTTTGTTAAAAAAATTCCATTAACCAATGAATAAATGCATAACTGTTATGGAACCAGACAGACCAAAAATAGATCTTAAAGTTTCTTTTGTTATTGTTCTTTAAAATGAAAACAGCATTATAATGGTGAAGCCACGAGCTTACTTCTGACAGAAGAAAGGTGTTGGATTGTATTTTATCAATTTGAATACATTAAAGCGAGGTCTGTGGGTGTTCGCAATCATTTTAAATTTCAGCTAGTGCTCATGGTGCTACGAGAGGGAAATATAATGTGAAGGCCATTTATTATATGGAAGTTAAATGCTATGCTTTTGACTTTAAGCACTAAACAATTTAGAAAAATGCATCATACTGTAATAAAGACTAGCAGATTCCAGCCCTACAACTGTGTAACAGGGCCCTCTAATTGTCCAATCCATCTGCTACCCCTTGCTTTTTTGATGCCTCATTTTCTCAATGCTGAACTTTCTCTCCCACAATGTCCAGATGATGCTCTCTGTGCCCTTGGTGAAATGATGATCATTTAACTGACACTTGCTGCCTCCTTTATTTCAGAGTCCTTATACCTGTCACAATCTATTTTCACCCATGTCCTTTTCTCTTTTGCACAGCCACCTTTAGATAACTTTCCCCACATTCTCCTTTTACATGAGAACACTGATGCACTCATCAACTTCTTTTTTACGAAGATACTTCCCCTTTTCCATCTTCAAAAAGTCATTCTCTGCAGCTATGAAGGTTGCCGAAAGATCAAGGATGGGAAGCAACCCAAAAACAAAAATCATACAACAAGGCTACTAGACAGGAAATTCTCAAAATGTAGTGCAGCACAATTTTTTTTTGAATAGTAAAAACAAAGGAATTGGAAGGCAGCCAATTATTTGGATTGTGACGAGAGGTGGGTGTTTGTCAAGTACAGAGCCGGAACTATTTTTTGCCAACATTATATGTACTACAAGCAACGTCAACTCCATTTTAATGTAAGAAATGCTAAACTTTGCGGAAATTAGGAAAATGAGATGAAGCTCAGGGCTTCTCGTGAAGGAGTGAGGAGACCTGCAAAATTAAGAAGCTGAGGAAATGAGCAGAGCACAGAATTCGCAGCATAGGGCTGCCTGGAGGAGTGAAAGGCAAACATAACTAATTTGGAAAGCTTTATGACATTATTACAGGTAACACAGGGTTATGAAACAAGAAGTCACAGATGTATACTGTACTGAAATCTAATTAGAAGGCATCAAAAGGTTTTAAAATCATAACTGAGTCAAATATATGCACTCATTTTCAAATATTACAAACATGTACATGGGTGCCATGCATTAAAAAACAGCCAGCCCAGCTCTACTTTTCAAAGGCTACTTAAAGTTCTAACCTTCTTTAACAGTTCTAACCAACAGTCCTCTGTCTTAAGAGTTTAGGGTTGTATTACATCAACCGTACCTACCTCCCACTCACTTGAGTACCTCATCACTATTCCTCGACAGTGTCTGTTGTATTCAGCAATGCCCATTGTTGCTACATCTTCAGGTCCTTTTATTCCCAATGTCTTATCAATTTCATATTCCTGCAATATTATACAAACTTGAAGATCAGATTACTTTAGTAAAAAGGAGATCAAATTTAAGTGCCTGCACTTTGAAGTCTTCACTAAAAGTAACCAAAAATTGAAATAAGTCTTAAAATACCAAAGTAACATAACAGTGCGTATAATAATGACAAATAGGATTGACTAGTCAATATTCTAATCCTCAGGGAGCACCTACAGAAGTGCCTATAATATTTAAATATTTTGTGTGAATGAAAAAAAACTGAATCATACACCAACATTTAAATTTCAGCAAGGTTGACATTCGAGGGATGAAGTGGAAATTGCCCACAATTAATGGGGCAGAGCCACCAAATGATAGGACTATGAAAGAATCAAGGGAGTGGTTTAAAGATATATTTGTTCGGATACAAGACCTGTCGATATCCCTAAAGGGCAAGAACTCTACGTGTAATTTATTTATTTTTTCATCTTTATTCATTCTTGAGACGTGAGCATTGCTGGGTGGGATAGTATTAATTGCACTTTTGAAAGTTGGTGGTGAGCTGCCCTCTTGTGCCATTGCAACCCCATTTGCTCCAAGTCCATCCACAAAGCTGTTAGGAAGGGAGTTCCAGGATTTTGTCCCAGTGACAGTGAAGGCACTTTGGAGATATTTCTCAAAGTGAGTGGCTTGGAGGGAAACCTGAAGGAGGTGGTGTTCCCATATATCTGTTGCCTTTGTCCTTCTAGATGGTTGTGATCATGAATTTGGAAAGTGTTGTCTAAGGTGCCTTCATGAACTGTTGCATTGCACCTTGTAATGATGCACACTGCTGCCACTTAATGTCGGTGACTCTCTCCATCAATGTTTCTGGCTGTCATGCCAATCAAGTGGCTGCAAAGTATCAAGCTTCGAGTGTTGTTGGAGCTGCAGTCACCCATGTAAGTGGGGAGTATTTCATCACACTTTTGGATTTGTGCCTACAGGGGAGGACGGTGTCAGGTGGTGAGGTACTTGTTGCAAAATTAGCCTCTGACCTACTTTTGTAGCCACAGTACTTATGACTAGTCCAGTTCAGTTCAGTTTCTGGTCAAAAGTAATCCTAGGATGTTGATAGTGAGGCATCCAACGACAGATGCCGTTGTATGTCAAGGGGTACTGGTTTGATTCTCTTGTTAGAGATGCGACATTTGGGGCGCAAATGTTACTTTGTATTTCAACACATCTGAATTCCAGATTTGAACAACAGAATCTGGGAAACATTACCAGTTTCTACAAACCTACCACAGGCAAGCCATGGCAATCCCATCCAAATCTTCTTTCAACACTGAATCCACTCTGATGTGCAAACCTGGTTACTATATCCTTTATTGTCCCCGCAAGTATATGGCCGTAATGTGGAAGACCAGTGGCAAAGGGAGGTCCATCATAAAATGTGTATCTGTCAAGTTCAACAATTACACATTGAATTAGATTCCTGACTAAAGGCACAGATGTGCTCAAAGCATGTAAATCTTCCAGATATCAACAAAGAACTGAGTACAGCTCGACTTTATAAGTTTGTCGAATGTCAACACGTTAAGTCCTTCTATAAAAGAGAAAAAAAGATAAAAGAACAACAGGCCATGGTGACATGATCCAACATTTGCATTTTTAAATAGGTTTTAAAAGATGGAGAGCAAAGTGGGTTTAGATAGAAATTTGAAAATGGAACGCCAACCTGGCTGATGACTCAGCCATCAATATCTAGATCCAGAGGGGGGCGTTAGATTCGAATGCAGATGTGAACTGAATGTCAAAGACGACATAACTCCGGTAGATTCATAAGGAGGCATAAATATACGAAAGAACGTGTGGGGCAGAAATATGCAGCTGAATTTCAAAACATTGGGACTTTATGGTGGAGAGGGTGAAAGAATAGCAAATCAGGCATTCAAAATATTAACAGCGATGATAAAAAGCATGGATAAAACAATAAAGATGGAGGTAGAGACACAGGAAAGCAGTGTGCAGGTGACAGTACAACATTTGTACTCCTTACAGCTGCAGTGCCCAAGAAATAAAACTTTAATCCACCTCAAAGCAAAGCAGCTTTAAAGAATTGATTTATTGCATATCAGAAAATACAGAAGAAACCCTCTAACTAAAAGT